CATGAATAAGATAAGTGGAATTAATTTGTTTTAGTTTTTTTGTTACTCTTAACAACTGACATTTTTCTGGGTGGATTCCCATTTCTGTAATTCATCTAATTCTCTTTGTAAAATATCTGTGTCTTGTGTTGTTTTTATTGTTCTATATATTATGCAATCGTCTGCAAATAATCTGACTTTTGTTCCTGAAGTAATGCAATTTGGTAAATCATTTATGTAAATTAAAAATAGTAGTGGACCCAAGACTGTTCCTTGAGGTACACCTGAGTTTACTGTTATCGGTGTTGATTTAGAGTCATTTATTATTACAGTTTGTTCTCTCCCTATCAGAAAATCTTTAATCCACTGATGCAGTGGACCATTAATGCCAAAATATTTTAATTTTGTAAGCAAACTATGTTGGTGAACTTTGTCAAAAGCCTTAGAAAAATCTAGTAAAATAGCATCTATTTGTTCACTATTATCTAAACCTTTAGAAAAATCATCAATTAGTCCTATTAGTTGTGTTTCACATGATCTATATTTCCTAAAGCCATGTTGGTATGGTGTGAGGACATTTTATTTGTCTAAGTGGTTTATGATGTTGCTACATATTATGTGTTCTAGGATTTTACATGTGATGCTGGTAAGTGATACTGGTCTATAGTTTCCTGGGTCAGATTTTTCTCCTTTTTTAAATAGGGGGGTGACATTAGCTTCTTTCCAGTCCTTTGGTACTCTGCCCTGGTTAAGTGAAGCCTGAAAGAGTATTTTGAACACTGGAGCTAGCTCATTGCTTAGTTCTTTGAGTAATCTAGCTGGAATACCATCAGGTCCAGACGCTTTATTTGGTTTGGTGTTGGCTAATAGTTTTTGAATTCCATTTTCTTGTACTACTATATCTTCTATGTTGTCTACTTGGTTCAAATTCAGTAATATGTCTTTGTCTCCTGGGGCTGAGAATGCTGATGCAAAGTATTTGTTTAGGATGTTTGCTTTAAGTTTCATTATCATTATGTATTATGTTATGTTTATCTTTTAATGGCGCTATGCCTGCTGTTTCCATTTTCTTAGACTTAATGTATGACCATAGGTTTTTGTTGTTATCTTTAGATATTACATTGTTTATGTATTCACTCTGCAGCTGTCTGCTTACTTTTTGGGTTAAGTGTTTAATTTTTATATACTTTTGTAAACTCTTTCTGCCTTAGTTTCTTTAAATTTTCTATATAGGTTTTCCTTCTGTTTACAAAGCTTCTTTAGTCTATTATTAAACCAGCATTTATTTATTTTGTTTGATGTGTATTTAGTTGGTATATGATTTTCTATAATGCTTTTAAGATGGTTTTTAATGAAATTCCAGAGGTCATCGACTGGTTGGTTAATGTCTTTTTCTAATAAGAATGCAGCTTTGTGTAGTTGTGTTAGGTTAAATTTATTCCAGAGTAAGATTTTTCTTTTGGGTTTTGCATTGGCTACTGCTTTTATCTGACTGTATTTTTATGATCTCATGGTCTGATAGACCAGGGATATTATCATAATCAACTACTAATCCAGGTCTGTTGGTTAAGAAGAGATCTAATGTGTTGTTTAATCTAGTTGGCTTTATAATGATTTGATCTAAACTTAGGTTGTGTAAAGTTTGTATGAAAATCTCCTTTATGTCCTTAAGGTTTTGGTGTTTACCTATGGTTAGTGTTTTCCAATTTATATCAGGTAGGTTGAAATCACCCATAATCCAAAAAACTGCATTTTTATTTGTCTCTTAAAGTGTAGTAATCTGATTACATAGTTCCTGCATGTATTCTAAACTAGAATTTGGTGGTCTGTAAATGCTGCCTATTATTAGGGATGTTGAGGTGGTATTAATTTAAAAAAATGTTGATTCTATATTTTTTTAGTTAGGTAAGGTAATTTCTTCTGCTATAAGAGTGTTTTTTATTGCTAGAAGAACTCCTCCATGATGTTTACACTTTACATGTGCTTTGTAACTCGTCCGTAAGAATGTGTTCACGAAATGTGTTGTGTGTAGTCATTCAGTGAATTAAAGCCATACTAAGCAAACATGGTTTTCGACTCTGATATCATTATGTTCACAACAGATCCATCGCAAAAATTTCTTAGCTGATTCATGTAGGAGACTTAATAAGTCAGTCATAAGGACTTGTATTATTTTATATGGAAAATATATATAGAGAGAGGCTACAAATGATAGCCTGTAAAAGTGTTTGTGAATGCTCTAAATTAGGGGTTTTAACTGTAGAGCATTGCATTACTGGTATCTTCTCTCTCTCTCTCTCTGTATATATCTATAAATTAGGTCGTCACGTATCCTCCTTGAACGGCATCTGCAATCATTTGAGAATATATTTCTCTTACTTTTATTACAAAACATTTTCTAATTGTTAAAAATTAATTTTATTTTTTCCCTTAGGAAAGAGGTGGAGCCTGTAGATGATTAGTAAGTAGATTGACACTTATTTTCTCTGATATCTACTTTAACGTTACTCTCGTTAAGAAGGGAGTGTGACGTAAGCAAGTGGGCATTAAGTACATCAGCTGATCAATCTTTTGTAAGAGCGATTAATAAGTAATATATAATGGAAAAAAAAAAGAAACATTAAAAAATAAATATATATATATATTTCGCATCTTTTTAGCTAATAATGTCTGAGTTTGAGTAGAACAAAAAAACAAACAACCTGAAATAAAAGATAATTTAAAACGCAATCTCTCTGGCGTGTACATGAAATCTGTTATACTTATTTTTATGCTTGTTAAAGAAATAGTTCCATTTACTTTTCCAAATTATTCTAACTAGTGCTGATTGTTTAAGAATAAAATAATTCTCACTAGAGAATGAATGTAATGGTCTTCTTAAAAAAAAATAATTGATACTACCATGACCAGCTACCTTTCTTACCAACAGTTTCAACCATGAGGTACGAACTAACGACAAGTACAGGGATGCTTATTGGAAGACTGGTGAGTTGACATTTTGTTAGTTTTATGGGGAAGAGTTTTTCTTCTAAGCACCATATTTTTTGTCAAACTTCATTAATATTTAGACTTTATTATTATTACTTACAATGCCAAGCTTTACCCTTTTACCCTTTGTTTACGTACATTTTAAAATTGATGTTAAATAGGTCCTCAGCAGCTGAAACTTAGTAAGATAGCACCTAATGCATGGGACATAGGTCATAGGCCATGTTTTGGTTACCAAGCTTTTATATATATATATATTGTTGTAACTCTGCCATTCGCACCGCCATCTAAGCTAGAAGGTGCGAACTGTGAAAAACTAGACTGGGAAGGATGTCAACATTAGAAAAGGAGAATGATTTCCGCCCAAGTAAAGAGCCACTATGGAGAGATTGTGCCTAAGATAGATGTTGTTTTATGTACCTGTGATGTCGTGTGAATAAACGTCTATGTCTCGTTGAGTTGCCTCACTTAAGTTATTACACTATATACAAAGACTCTCTGGTGTCTGGTACAAATAGTAATACAATAAGCATCTCCCTCTCCCTAGTCTCGGTTCAAAATGAAACCTTGAACAAATGCTCATTGCGATGACACTTGAATTAAAAAAACAACAACAATTGGTTAATCGATAATTCGTGATTAATTATTTCGTTTTAAATGGAAATGGAAAATTTATTAAAAGCTAAGGTGAGAAAAGCCTTGTGAAAAGAAAAATCGTTAAAAATGTGAAATGAACACAAGACCATAGAACCTCGAAGGAGCCCCACACAAGCGAGCTGGTGGTTCTTCTATCTCTGCCTGTGGGTCCAGGAGCAGGGGCAAGAAAGTAATAACTCCAAGACCAAAAGTCTAAAAATCCTTCCATGTGGAGTGTCACCGTAAAATGCTGACCATATCCTCCAAAACTGCTCTCTTTAGTAAGAGGCCCGTAGAAGACACTGGCACCAAAACACCCCAACAGAAAGAAAACTATATGGAGAGCTCCCTGATTTGGAAACCACTGCGCAGGTTCATCTCATATATTGGTCTACTCATCTGAACGCTCCAACTTAAAAATGAGAACAAAGAAGAGGAAATAGACAAGTTAAAAGTCAAGAGAGGGAGCTTACAAATATATTTTTTCCACCCACCAACTTCTGAGTTTTATGGTTTTCTTGATTTCCACCTATTTTATCAACCAGACGATGATAAATGTTAATTTTTACTTACAGGCGATCACTACGAAACAGGTACAGGCTACAACCCAGAGGGCGATAGCTACGCTAAACCTATAGAGGGCGGCTTCAGGCGGCTAGCATTGCCACCACCTAGAACCACAAACTTCTGACCGCCTTGAGTTATTTAGTAATGAACACAATTTACACCTGTTATCCCCGTCTTCCAAAAATATATATGTTGTCCGAATGGAACAAAGCTCAACATCGCTGTTGACAAGCATATGTTACTTTTTAAAGAAATACAGAAAAAAAACTGGACCCACAGACTTAATGTTAGCTTTGTACATTTAAATATTGTAGTAGATCTTTGTGAACTAATAAGTGAAAGACAATTCGGAAGATCAATTCGAAAGATTGGAAGCTTGTAGACTTGTACATCATTGTTTCAATTTTTTATTTACAAATACTATATAAATATTTATATTCTGAAGGCCAAGTTTTATTGTACATTTTTTTAAAGTTTAATTTATATTTTGTCATTTCTAAGTCGTTGAAGTATATATTTTTCTGTATCTGTAAATTAAAGCTTTTTTAAATTTTAAAACTTTCACATATTTATAAAATAGTATGTGTACAAAGATTTGTGAGTGCTATTTAAAGTGAAAGAGAGAATTAGAGAGTGTTAATGAAAATAGATGGACAGAGATAAGAGACAAAGAGAGAGAGAGAGAGAGATAGACAGAAAGAGAGATGGAGACAGAGACAAAGAGAGAAAAAGACACAGAGAGACAGTGAGAGAGAGAGAGTGACAAAGAGAGAGAGAGAGTGACAAAGAGAGACAAAGAGAGAGAGGCAAAAAGAGAGAGACAGAGAGAAAAAGTGAAAGAGAGAATTAGAGAGTCTGAAGGAAAATAGTTTTAGAGAGAGACAAAGAGAGAGAGAAAGACAGAGAATGAGACAGAGACAGATAGTGAGAGACAGAGTGAGAAACAGAGTTTGATGATATATATATATACCTTGAATATATTTTCAGTGCATTGATTGGCAACAAATATAAACAAAATGTTTTTTTTTACTTGTATACATGTCGGAGTCCACTGTCTCATTGTACTTCAGTTTGTAGTTCAGCAGACCAACAGAACCTATCTGTGCTATTTTTATTTGCAAATAAACCATCACAAAATAGTTGTTCACGTAGTCTCATCATTTTAAAATATATCTCTAGATTGTTACTAAGCCAAATGGGCACCGCACAGAGTTTAATAACAAAACCCAAATACGTCTATTTCTTATTTATTGACAAACATTAAAACATTTCTTTCTATTTTCTAATCCATTGTACATAAAAGTTTTAAAAGAAGGGCAATAACAATGGTAACTTAGTTTAGGTCTAAATAAGGGAAGCGATTAGTGAAGTGCTATATTTGATATCCGGCAGGATGGAATACACACCTTGGATAAGGAAAACTGTAAATATCAATCTCTGCTGCCTTGCAAATATGGGAAAGGCTTCTAGGGTTAACCCGAAAGGAAAATCCGTAGCCGGCGACCCTAAGGCAGATTACAGCACAAAGTGCTTCATCGTGGCAGCGCCTGCGACAGGTATATTATTACAACCATATCCAACACTTGCTGTACCTATGGATAAATCAGCCTCTTGGAGAATACATTGCATCGACCATAGCTAATGCCAGAAGGGCTTTAGAAAATTGTTTAAACGCTTTCGGATTCTGATTAGGGGTATCTAAGTTCGCTTATCTTTAAACAGTTTTTAGATATCCATAAAATACAATTAATTAAGGAATACATTCGGAAATATTTGCTATACTTCATTATAAAAAAAAATCGTCAGTATTAGACCTGAAGTGGGAAGTTCAAGTTTAACAGTGAATTTGTTTCTGTACGACACTTGTTAGGTCTCTGTACGGTATAATGAATAGATGGATGGAGCAGACGGACAGAGAGGCATATATATATATAGGTAGAAAGAGAGAGAGAGAGAAAGAAAGGTATATGTATATAGATATTTAGATAGATAGATAGATAGTTCTGGTTTCAAATATAACATGTCACATTGTGAAAACAAAAAAAAAACCCAGCCCAACACTAAATGTAAACAAAACAGATTTTTTAAAGATAAGCGGTACGGTCTACCGGGTCTTCCCAAAACTCAGGTGCTGTAGTATCAGGAGGGTAAGCCAAGGTAGAGCGGGTGGGGCTACTACATCATGAACGATCGATCTTTGTACAATCAAATATGACAAGCGGAGAAGTAATATAAACGCAAGAGCATTAAAAAAGTCTTTTATCAGTGCTTTGGAAATGTTTCCACTTAACAAAGGCGAGGCTTTCATTTCGGTTGAGTGGGGTCAGCACAGCAAGGCTTATAGGACTTGAACGATAAAAGAATTATTAATTCAAGCCTATGTGGGATCTTATAACGATAGGAACATCTTTTGAAAATAGCTTTATTTTAGACAAGTTGCTGTTTTACTGGTTTTCTTAATAAAATATTTGTCCAAATATTTCTTATGAGAAAGTTTGAGTTGTGATTTTCAAGTGTATAATTCTCTCTCTAACTTTCTCTCTGTCTGTCTATCTGTCTCTGTCTCTCTCTCATCTTCACCTCTCTATATCTCTCTCCCTCCTTTTCCCCCCTCTCTCTCTCTCTGTCTCTCCCTTCTTTCCTCTCTCTCTCTCGGTCTCTCTGTCTCTTTGTCTTTGTCTCTCTGTCTTTTCTGCCTTTCCCCCCTTATTCTCCCCCTCCTCTCTCTCTCTCTTTCCATACTTTATTCTCTTAACGTGTAAGATCTCTATATAACTCCTCCATTTCCCTTGAGCCAACGAGTTCAAGCCATTCATAGACACAAACAACACAGAACAGCGTTGACTCGAGAAAATCTTATAGTCTTATAAATGACAGGCGTTCCTTTAAAAGAAAATATAATGACGTCCTATGCGTGTCCATGTGCTAATCTAGTCGTGCATGTTAATTAGAAAACATAACTCTACTAAGCGATTGGTTTTCCTGTCTGATTCAGTCAACCCATTACTTAAATGTAAATTATAGTTGGCTTTCAAGAAAAGATGACAACTATTGAAAATATATTTGTTTCAAGAAACTGAATCACGTCTGGCTCAAAGTGGTATCCAGTCTAGGCTATAGTCAGACATAGATTCTGACTTAAAGAATCCTTTACAATATTTACTAATATTTATCTCCACCGACCTCCTTTTGAAACCCTTCTTTAGTATCTGCTTCCAGGTTACGCCAGTGTCAGTATACTACAGCAGTTCTTGGCTTTGAAGATAATGTTCCAGATTGTCTCTTTATATTTAAATACACCCCCTCCCCCATTTCCCCTAGTTTGAATTTAATCCACAGGTGGATCCGACACTATCCAGTATGATAACACTCATAAACTGCTTTTCAAAATGTTAGATACAGACTCCAACAGGCTTTCAATCAAATAAGCAACACATTCTCCCCAGTTATTGGAGTCAGTCTATGATAAGACTCCAGATCTATAACTTCGATCATTCGCTGTATAGAAATATAATATTTTAAATAAAAGTTAAGAAATAAAAATAGATAAGAACATGGTCCTACTAGTAACAGTACTAGAGGGTGATCTTGGTGACAGAACAATGGCGTGATACAACCACACTTTACAAGGCAGACATGAATTTAATATATAGTGATCTTGTTATTATACTATTGTTCTCACTCACAAGGAGTATACATTCAGTAGTAGTAAGTATAGCATTGTGAACAGTTTCTTCTCAATCTGAACAAGAAGTTTCTATGAATCAATATTCAATCTCTCTCTCAAACTCTAAAAGTTTATGACACGGAATGATTAACAAAGAGAAAGATGTTTACAAAGAACATACAAGACTCTTGGAATTGAATTGTTTAGTTGGTAGTTACTTATAACGAATACTATTTTTTTTCTTTGTTTTTCTTTGATCTATGTTTTAATTTTACAGAAGTGAACAAAATAATAATTCCTGTACTCACATTACTCTGATAGTTTCAGTTCCTAAGTAGGCCACTTGTTCTGTGATCTTTGTTTTTTGGCTCATTTTACATGTTTTTGGAGATTTCTTAAGCATTGAATTATTACATCCTAGCTCGGAGAATGGCGGAGGGCAGGGTTTGAACATCGAGAGCACAGTCCCACTGTCCCAAGCGCCTATCACACGACCAGGCAGCCATCCTGACAGTGTATTTTGTACTGGGAGGTCATAGCTGATTGAGATGATAAGATGTAATGATAAGCATTGAGCACAAAACTTGGAATTGGGTTATTACTAAATGCATAAAAGGATTTTACATTTTGTCAAAGCAATTTGAATCTTTTAATGCTGCAAATGTATATAGCTTTATCATTTATGTCAAAACTTGACGAGTCCTAGACATGAAAAATAGAAAGAAAAAAGATATCATATATATTAAGGAATTAAATAATGATATAAGTCTTGTCTTTGAATCCGAGGATTAGTGAGGAGAGCAGTATTCCAAGTGGCTACACAGTTCCAGCTGCGAGCTACATATTTTGCCACATCCAAAGCACACATAACCATTGTCGGCTGGTGGTCCATCTAGATTCTCTTTTCGCCTAGAAAAAGAGAATAAGATGAAGCGTAACAAAGTCTTCAGGCAACTAGAATAAGCAATTGTCTGAGAAGTAGCTATCGCGGGATATTTTTTTTTATTTTAATGATCTTTCTTTGTCCTCTTGCAGGATATCAGAGACTTTACCAAAACTTTTGAAATTCCTGAGAAAACTCTGACACAGACCCAGATTACACGAGTAAGTAAGATTAGATTATTTCTGACAATTAGAAAAAAAAAATTTAATGTAATCATTTTTAAATAATTTTTAAAATTCAAAGCTAAATGTGGATATGCCTTAAATCTCAATCGACTGTAAGGCAATCTTTTGAAATCAAATGAGTTCGATCTTGCGAAAATACAGCATTTACATCACAATTTTAATTATTGAAATTTGAACCATTTATTTGAGTCCCATCTGTAAGACCAAATGATTAGATACACGAAACTTACCCAAGAATATCTGTGTGCTTTTAGATTGATTGCTCCAGCACAGATAACACGTGTAAATGTAACGTGGCCAAAACTGACCCACTGGGGGCGCCATTTGATGTTTGGAAAAGTGGTGGATCATGTAAGTGACTTTATTTTATTAATACTTCAAGCTAGGACTATTTACTTTACATAAGTTGTTATATTAATATAATAATCGAAGATTTTATTACATTCTTTCGAAACGAATTAGGAGTTTGAAAAGCTTAACTATGTCTGTTTGAATAAGAGGAAAGCCAATAATCATATTGGCTAACTAGCAGTCAGGGAGATGTTATATAAAGAACAAGAGAGCAAATAGCACTCCAGATCTGTATTAGTGTAATTGCAGCCCCTCTTCAGAGCTGGAGTATGAGCTGCTTACAACATGTCTCCATTATTACAATTACACGCTATTCCTCGATCTCGTCACCAAAACTTTTACTGATTTTCCTGAGTTGGTTAGATTCTACATGATACCAGTGTTGGTAATAATCATTATATACAATAAAAGAGGAGCTCTGCAGATTTATAGATCTCCAGACCAATGAGTCTCTACTTTTACAACATGGGGAAATAGGAATGGTTCTTTATGTCGTGGACAACATAAGGAAAGCACAAATGAACACAATACGCTAAATGCTGTTCTGTTATACTCTATTCGTTTCCTGTCAATGTTAATATTAGAATTTCGTCCAAAGATGAACAATGAGTGTCGTATTTCACGTGGATGTAACCTTATCAAATTTGTTTGTTTCTATAGATAGCACTAACTGACTTATGCCATGATTACTGATCACTGACATTTATATTTTCTATTTCCAGTTTACTATGTTTTCTTCGTGGGGGTCAACAACGGGAAACCCTTGTCCTATGTTTCGGTGCCGTCCTACCGACTGACCATCGAGTGCCAGAACGCTGCCGGCACTGAATCAGACTTCGCTGACCTGGAAGTTGACGTCAAACCAAACGCCATCCCGGTGATAACTAATCCCAGTTACCCACACGGTATGTACGTAGACGTAATGCTCGACTTAATATCATGATAGTCATAATTCATTGGCGTGGTCGACAGGCTAAGTACGCTTGAACTTGGCTTGGCTACCTATAAAGG